GAAACCACACTTGGAAGACTGAACTTTTAAAGGAACATTGTATATTTGAAATTAACTTTGAGCTTATACATTTATACTATGCTTTATATTGTAGTATCAGAATTAGTAGTGATGCTTTGTATTTCAAAAAGAAAGTTAATAAATTTGTACTCATTTTTGTCAATTTGAAACAAGCAAGCATACTTTGGACAGAGGGAACCTTATCTGAAAAAAATGCAGATCACATTGGCATGCAGGCAAATCTGTTGAGTATTTTCTTGGTTAATGAGAGTGTAAAATCCACTGTGGGCAGTGGGACTCCCAGTCTAGTTCTGTGTTACATAAAAACAACATACTGAGTGAGACATGAGAATCAAGCCAATAAATAGCATTCCTCTGTGGTTCTATTTCAGTTTCTGACTCCAGCCTTGAGTTCCTGCCCTGGCTTTTCTTGATGATGGACTGTTCCCTTGAGGATGGACTGTTCCCTTGATGATAGACTGTAACCTGCAAGCCAGATGAATCCTTTACTCTTCATGTGGTTTTGGTCAGATTTTATTTCAGCAGTAGGAAGTAAACTAGGAATGTTTATAAAAGAAAAACAGCTCTCTAAAATCAGTTTTCCAAGAAGGACAGAAGCTGAAAGTCTAGCCAATAGACTATGAAAGCTCCAGGGAGGAAACATTGGGTGTTTCAACCAAAATGGCAGAAACAAAATGGGCAAAGTCTTAATAGGCTTGGAAGGTAGATTTTTATTTTTACTTCATGAATATCTACCATCAGAAGTGAAGTTTCTCAATTTGTTAGAGTTTGTATTGTGAATGTTCTATTGAAATACCACTCAGACACTGTGCAATTCACCCATTTAAAGTGTATTCAGTGATTATGGTTTTACTCACAGAACTTTCTCAGCATCATCAAACAGATTTTAATAAAGTTCCCCAGCACAAAAATAAACTCCACACCTAGAGTAGTTCCCCATCTCTGTCACTCCAATCCCATCACAGACAGAGTTTTTTTAAATATATATATAACAGCTATTTCATAGAAATAGACATCTGTTCGATGTGGTCTTTGCAGGTGACATCTCTCAATTGATTTTGTATAGTTTGAAGTACATGTTGTAGCATGAATCAGTATCATTCCTCTCCATTGCATTCCATGTGTAGGATACATATTTCCATTCATCAGTTGACAGGCCCTGGACTGTCATAAATATGCAGATACGAGCACTTGGATACTACTTATGTGATACATACTTTCTCTTCTCTTTAGATATTATTAGGAAATGAGTTGCTGTTTGCCAAAGGAGCTACAATGTTTTCCTTTCCATGAACACTGCATAGGGATTCTACTTTTCCAACACTGTAGACAAAACTTGATCTATTATCTCTATCATGTTGCCTGTTTTAGTGGGAGTTGTGAGGTGTCCTGTTGGAGTTTGCCCTTTTCTATATTTCTATATCATTTCTATATCATTCTTGGAGGGCTGTCTATCCACATGTTTTTCACTTTTAACCGTGTTTTTGTCTTTTTCTCATAAGTACGGAGCTGCTAGTGCATTGTGGTTAGAAGCATGTTATTGAGTAAGAGATTTGCCAATACATTTTCCCATTGTGGGGCTCATTTTCATGTTGTTGATGATCTATATTGAATCATAAAGATCATTTCATCTCTCTTCCATTTCCTTCCCTTCCTGGTATAACATCTCAGAAGGATTTTCCCAATCCATTTCAAAAGGATCTACACCCCCATATTTTAGGCACATGTTTTATAGCTTAGTTATTTTATTACATTTCTAATCTAGGATCCATCTGGATTTATGTTTTATGTGTTGCATAAAAAAGAGGCATTGTCATACTTTCACATAGGACATCATGAACAGTGCCTGTATGAACTCCTTTGGTATGTTTGCTATCTATTTGTTTACTATGATACTAAGAGTGGTTTTTCTATAAGAAATATATTGAAATGATAAACTGTTTTAAAAATAGTAATAAGTAATCATTTTAATTTAACCTTGTATATAATAAGCAATAATTATAAAATTAATTTAATGTCAAAGAAAAACTCACTTGTAATAATTCTTTATTGGGGGCTGGAGAGGGATCTCAGTGCACAAAGTGCTTGTGCAATCATGAGGAGCTGAGTTCAGTCTTCAGATTAGAACCCACAAAAAACCCTAAAATTATAGATTACAATATACACTTGTAGTTACAGTACTGGGTAGATAGGGACAAGTGGTTCCTGGCCTTGCTGTGCAGTCAGTCTAGCTTAGTCAATGAGATCCAGTCACTGAGAGACCATGACTCAGGAAGTAAAGGTGGGCCCTGATTGTACATCCTGAAAGCCAAGTCTCATCAGTTCACTTAACTTTACCCTGTGCATACCACTTGCAATGTCCAGGCTTTCCACAGACATGGAACACAGGCAAAGGGTGGTTTATAAAGGTACAGGGGGGAAACCTGTACTAGGAGGAGGTGTTTCATTTTAATTGGCATGTCAATTAGGTAAGCCAAGAAGGCTTTTGATTGCTGGAGTTTGGTAGTCAGCCTCAGGAAGTGGAACTGGCCAAATAAGGGAATAGAGGTTGAAAAGTAATCTAAAGGTTTTTAGCAAGGCAAAAGAAATGGGGTAAAGGGTAAGGCTTGACAAAGCCACATGCTTGAGTGGGCTGGTGTCCCTTCAGAGCTTGGAGAGAGAGCTTAGAAGTTAAGAACAGGTATTTGCATGGGACATGATGGTGCATACCTTTGATCTCATCATTAGAAGGCAGAGGCAGGAGGACCCCAGTGCCTGCTTGAGGGGATACAGGAGCACTTGTCTTCCCTTATTGCTATGCAAATGACCCTCCACCACCCACAGACTTGACTCCAGCAGAGCTTTACAGACACATGGATGCTCCTCATGGT